ACTGCCTCCCTGGGGATATCTTCCTAACTGAGGGCTGATATGGAAAAATAAGTGAGAACTCACTCTGTTTAAAAATACATACATACATACATACATACATACATATATATATGTGTGTGTAAGTTCGTTTTGACAGCATTTTTCGTCTGCTGAAGACAGCACTTAGTATTAGAGAGAAAATCATGATAGAATATGCTGAGTTGGAACGGACCCACAAGGATCAGGTAGTTCAACTTTTGGCCACTCACAGAACACCCAAGAATCCCACCCACCACATACCTGTGAGAGTGCTATCCATACGCTTCTTGAACTCTGCCAGGCTTTGGTGCTGTGACCACTTCCCTGGGGAGCCTGTTCCACTGCTCAAACACCCTCTGGGCAAAAAGAATCTGTTTATGATATGCGACCTAAACCTCTCCCAATTCAGCTTCATGCCATTCCCTCGGGTCCTGTCACGGTCAGTGGAAGGAAGAGATCAGTGTCTGTTGCTCCACTTCTCTAGAGGCAGCTGTAGACTGCAATGGGGTCTCCTCTCACTTTCCTCCAGGCTTCACAGACCAAGTGACCTCAGCCACTCCTGCTGTGGCTTCCTCTCTAGACCCTCCACCATCTTTGCAGCCCTCCTTTGGATACTTTCTAATAGCTTTGTATTTTTCTTACATTGTGGCACCAAAACTGTACACAGGACAGAGATAAGGCCGCACCAGTGGTGAGGACAGCAGCAGTGTCTGTTCAATGCTACTGTTAATGTGATTTTTTTTTTTCCTCTTCCCCTCTGAAGGAAGGTTTTCTCCTTGGAGATGTGAAAGGTGAAGCCAAGAACAGCATTACAGACTCACAAATGGATGATGTTGAAGTTGTTTATACAATCGGTTAGTGTGTCTACATTTTGCATAGCCTGCTTGGTTTCGGGCAGTAAATGACATTTCCGTTTTGAGGGACAGCAGTCAAGTCAAAACTCTATGGCAAGATCCTACATGCTTTGCTGATGTAAACAAAAAAAAAAAAAAAACCCCAAACAACCGAACTCTCACAGAAGTGTTATTTTGTAGCATTTTAACTGCTAAAAAAATTATAGTTTTAATGCAGAAAACAAAGTAATTTAAAGGAAATAATAGTTCTTAGTTCCTTAAATGGCTACTCTTTGACAAATAGCTTGTTACATTAAACATAACTTGGGGTTTAGACCCTTGTCTTGGCTACATCACAAACTCTTCTAGACTACAGTTGCCCTGGAAAAGATTGGTCTATCAGTGATGTGAACTGTAATGCATTAGCATCTATTACTTAATTTGGAGCTTATAAAATTCTGTGTGTGAAGGCTGCAAGCTCTTTAATAATTTCACTAAGTAGATGCCAGATGTATTTTTTGTTATCATCTTGATGTGATTGGAGTGGATGTGCACTGAGTAACTCAAGTGAAATCCTTCATACTACATACTACTCCTGCACCCAGCAGAAAGGAGAAAAATATAAAGTACCCAGTTTGATTTTTCAATTGACAAAGTAGAAAAATACCCAAAAAATACAGTTTATATTAGTGGTTCCCTTTACATTCAACAAAATTAATTAGAATCTATTTTGAAAAATTTTCCTTCCTTCATCTTATTTAATTAGATATTAATGCGTTTGATTTTAAGAAATTACATAGAATTATTTCTTGGTCCTTCTATCAGTTTCATGCTGATTATAGCAGACATGATATACTGAGCTGATGAACCCAGAGTAATATTGCTTTCTCTTTCCAGACATACAGAAGCATATTCCATGCTACCAGTTGTTCAGGTAAGAATCTTAAGTAAACAGATACTGAAAAGTTAAAATTAACCCTAACTTGAACTTTTCAAGAGTTAAATTTATATTGGCTGAGAAAATCACCCAGCTGTAACTACAGTAGCTGTATCAACCTCTTGGAATTACAGATGCAAAGTGCCTTATCTTATTCCTATTTTGGTTCTGTATCTTTTTTTTGTTTGTGTGTTTGTTTGTTTGTCTGTGCATGTATAAATAGAGATAAGGCATACTGCACCTTCTGGTGAGCTATGATACCATGTTAACTACAAAACAGTATCAACACATTGAAAAAAAAAAGCATTCCATACATTCTAACATCTCACACTTAACAGTATTAATTAAAAATTTTGAGGAAAAAAAAAAAAAGAAAAAAAAGAAAAAAGATATTTCTTCCCCTTTAATTGTCCTAATTTTCTTCTAGCTTTTATAATTCTGCAGGAGACCTGAATGAACTTGCCCTGAAGAAAATACTATCAGGCTATAAGAAGGTATTTTACTTTCAAATCTAAACCATACTGAGGAGATTACTCAAATTTTGGAGGCTGTGCTGGATACCTCTTGCATCAAGGCTTTTTCTGATTTTAAACCTTTTATAGTCCTTCATGCTGCTGGTCAAAACAGTTACATCCTTTTCCTCCTTAAAAAACAGTTTAGCTTATCTTTGACTAGAGTTTGCCTATGTATCTGTCACAACTTTGTTTTTAATTATTAATTTCTCAAGTGAACACTTGGGTATTAAAGGAATTGCACCAATTTCTACCTTAAGAACAGTTGAGGTCAGCTCACAAATGGTTAAGGACTACTTCATCAAAAAAACTTAAGTCTTTTCCACGGAGCAAAGTTTTACAAGGGGAAAGTAGAAGCTGAAAAGAAACAACAAAACAGAAAGAAGCTTGCAGTTTCAGCTTGAACACAGGCTCAGAAACAGATCAATTCAACACCTGGTTTTGAAGGAAAGAAGATGGGAATTAGGGTTAGAAGTTTTAAGGGTTTCAAGTTATGAAAATATGCCTATGCACCTACTAGCAAACAATTCAGATATGACTTTGGTGCTGAATGAAACTTGATTCAGTGTGACACACAGGGACATCATGATTCAACAGTAACTGTGAATTTTCTTCTACTCGCAGAGCGTAATAGGATGGTACAAATTCAGACGTAACACAGACCAGATCATGACATTCCGGGAAAGAGTGCTTCATAAAAACCTGCAGTCACACCTATCAAACCAGGGGCTTGTATTCCTCCTTTTAACCTCTAGCGTGATGACAGAAAGTTGTTCTACTTACAGATTGGAACATGCTCTACATCGGCCTCAGGAAGGGTAATGTCTACTGCATGCACTAAAACTTGAAAGTGTCTCTACTTTATTGCAACTGAATCAGTAACACTGTTTATTTTACCTTTGAAACTTCTAGTAAGATTATTCCTTATGTTGCCAGAGCCCAGTTGAAGGTTTACACTGGAATTCTGTTCTGGGATTGCCCCTTTTTATCTGTAGTGCCAGCATCACCAAGCAGACACTGTCAGTTTATTTACACACATAAGCTGCTCCTGATCCAATTGTTTTGTGTACAGGATGTCAACCATACATGGTGTTCATCAAAATATTTAAATTGGTGTTAACTTTAGAGACATCCTACTCTCTCACAGGCTAGGCTTAGCAAGCAATGCATTAGTGTGTGTTGTAGTTAGAAAGAGGGGGAATTATGGACATTGCTCAGCTTCTGGTTGCTCCCAAAGTTTGCCTTTAGCCTCATCTGTATGTGATGTAATACATTTAGCAAGGATTAACAATACTGTAACTGTCCCTTCAGATCGTGGTTCACCGTAGCCCAGGCTAGCTCAGTGGACACACTGGCACTGCGCCAAGTGTGGGGAACTGCCTTGGTGTGGGGTACACCACAGGCAGAACCTTTAGAGCCACTTGTTGTATGGTGCAGGATCACTAACCAACACCAGGGATTGGGCAAAGGAATAAGGAGAAGGCTCTCTGTATGAGGTTCCAGCAGGGAAAGGTTTATTGAGGCTGAATGGGAGAGGGACAGAGGAGCCCCGAATACCCCATACACTGGATTAAATACATGGAGGTTTCAGGGGGTGGGTACAAACAGTTAACCAATAGGGAAACCAGGAGAGAGGACTGAGAGGAGGGGATTACAATTCAGGATCCAATAGGGATAAGGGGGAGGAGAGGGCAGGTCACATGGCCCAATAGGGCTTCAAGAAATAGGGGAATTCCAAAGAGGAGGTACTGCAAGGGGCTGGGCTAACAGGGGATTGAAAGGGAAGGGTCCAGAACAAGTGACAGGGTTTACAATGACAGATAAGGAAGGTACTGGAATAAGGGGTTTGATTTCAATGCAGCATAGGGGAAGGTACAACTTAGGGGCAACCAACTCTGGGAGAAACATGGGGGAACATAGGAATAAACCATAAAACTGTGAACAAACTATTAAAATAACCACAAGCCACAACAGTCAAGAACATTTAACTTTCAAAGAGAGACCTTTGGTGGATATTAATAGATCATGTTTTCATACTTCTGCATTTGAAGTCTTTTCCAGAAAGTCCCCTTGGTGGTTACCAACTTGGGCATGGCAGAACAGCAAGGTTACAGAACAGTGTCTGGTTCCTGTGTATCCTCTGGTTTTGTGAGAGCTGTGAGACAACACAGGTACAACACGTATTTACTGATAGCTGTATCCTCCCACTACCATAACCACACTTACCTTTCTGTAAAAGCATTTAAGTGCTTTTGCAAATGTTATAGCCATACCTTGCTCACCTGTTGACCTGTTTTCTACAGTTACTTACCATTCCAGCATACTTAGAAATTAATTCAGTCCTGTATTTTGCCAGGAGCTGTCTGTCTCAAAGCAGGCACATGGCATTGAAACTCAAAACGCTTCTTTACTAATTAAAGCTCCTACTAAGTAAGCACTGGGATCCCTAACTGCAATTATACAGTTCTACTCTTGGTCCACAGGTCAGAATTCTTCCATGAAGATGGGTCCCTACAAGAGGTCCATAAGATAAATGAGATGTATGCCACCTTGCAGGAGGAACTGAAGGTAAGCTGGCCATGCCTGCCTTACCTTCAGCAGTTCTACAAAACCAAGGCAGCCAAAAGCTACAAAATCATGCACTGCATGAGAAAACACAGCCACGTCCAAAACACAGATCAGCATGTTCCATTTACTGTGCTGCACACTATATTCTCAAAGCTGAGGATTTAAATTCCCATTTGATGAAAGTACAATGTTTAATCTTCAAGTCCATGAATAAATTCTGACAAGAGGATTATTCTGAAGGAGTAGTATCTGTAGTTTATTAGATCTCCTTTGCCTAGATGGGATCAAATAAAACATCTTGCACCTTCTTCAAACCAAGGTTTAAGTTATCTGACAAATCCACCTCCAAATCATTACTTAAGCTTTTTACTACTTTGTGTCCAACTTTACCATGAGTACCTTTAAGAATTTTGCAACAATTTTAAAGTCAGCTGTGAATACTGATATGCTGATCAACGTGCTCTTCTTCTTGCAGAAAATATGCATTACAGTAGAAGTCAGTGAACGATCTGTAGAGAAACTTTTAACAGAAGTGAGCCAATTAAAAGAAGAAATAAAGAGGAAAAAGCAACAAAATTGTTCAGGTAAGTTAACCAAATGTGATTCAAGCCTTGCCCTTCCAAAGTTGGCTCAAGTGACAGAAGCACAAAACACTTCTGAACCCGAGGCAGCCAAAACAGCAGTGGTGCAAGTGGTTCTGCAACTCTGTTTTTTTCCCTCAGGAGAAGATGAAAACCACCCAGCAGAGCCAAAGGAGAATGTTCTCCTTTGTCAGGCACTGCAAACATTTTTCCCCAATTCTGGACTTCAGACGTGCATTGTTTCCTTCAAAGGCCGACAGATATCCAAGAACTGCTGTAACATAGACCACCATATTAATGTCATGGACAAACTGACTCTCATGGTAGAGGAAACAGACTTCACTGAAGCTGAAACAAGGCATCTAAACAAGCGTAAAGTCAGGGGGACCACAACAGTTTCAAAGTCATTCAAAAAGTCCAGATCATTGCAGCTTCACCAAGAATCATTTCAAGATCAAGAGGACAGTGACCAGGAAAGGAAGCTTACACTGAGTAGCACTGAAACAGATGAGGATGTGTTTGAAAAAAGCAGAGATGCAAATGAATACCCACACTCTCCTACTTTCTGATCTGTCAGATGACCTTGCAAAAGCTACTGCCAGTATATTCCAGTGATGTATCAATGTATTGCACTGCACAATGTATGTAACAGGGCATTTTTGCAGGTTGGTTTTTTTTCCCCCAGTGCATGAATTCTGTTTGGCATAAAGATAAGTCCAAGATGACATTCTCTCACTTTGCCTTCCAGAGTTCCATCTGTCTTCTCTCTCTCAGGGTTCAAAGACTATGCTACAGGATACTATGATAAACATGTCACATACTGCTTCAAAGTGATACAGCTTCAAGCTGCTGGTGAAGAAGCAGTGCTACTTTCCTGATGCAGGGAGCATCAAATGAACACTTAACAGAATCAGCTGTCTACATGAACTGCCAGAGTTTAAGTACATTACTTTATCCTCAGGAAACCAGTACTTGTTTACTTCTCCCCATCTTACAACCCAGCAAGGGAAAAAACAGCCATGTGAGCTTTAGCAACACTGTGAGCAGAGGAAGGGGTCCATACAGCTGCCAGTTTCTAATATTGCTTTAATCTTCCTTCAGACAATAACTTCCAGAAACTTCCTGAAGAAAAATAAGAGAATGACTGACATCCACCCCTCAGTCAACCACACATTATGTAAGCAAACCACATTTCCAGCAAACAAGTATATAAAGATGAAACACGGTTTTATTGTTTATTTCTGTACAGTATATCACTCTGGATGTTTGATATTACATAGCTTGGGGTCTGTGAGAAATTGTGGGTTCTTAAACATAATCGGCATAAATCCTGTTAAAAAAAAAAAAAAAGGTGTTCTTAGTAGAAAAGTAGCCTTGAGCTGGAAAACTCAAAAGCAAAATCACACTTACCAAATACATGAGCTCTTTTAATGGCCTTCGTAATTTCCTTCTGCTTCTTATTACACAAGCCTAAAGAGATTAATTAGTTTCAACACTAAGCAAGTCATTGCAAGGTGAAAGGCATGGTACTGACAATTCCCTCTAGCTTTGATTAAATCCTTCTAGAAAAATGCACGTATGCTTTTACTGTTAAATACAAAATGCATACAATTAATGAATATTTTAATTCCTTTGCACAGGCTACTAAGTCAGGGGAATACTATTACCAAATAGTTGAGACTGGTTACTTCCAGAAAGACTGCTGATACACAGTTACTTAGACTCACAAAAACATTATTATTAACCCAAATATGATTTAATTTCATACTTCACATACCTGTGATATGCCTGCCATAAATGGAGCCAGTATATGGAGAAACAAACTGGGAAAGAAGCTACTTAAAATTAAGAAAAATCAAAGTCAGTTTAAGAACTTTTTTTTTTGAGCTTTATATTATGTTACTACTTGCACTCTATTTTTCATTTTTTTTCATCTGTTTTTTCTGCCTGAAGAAAAAAGTACAGCTTGGAGCTAGGCAGTATTTACTATAGAAAAATTTCCATGCTTTGTGTCAGCTGAATTGTAACCAAGGACTCTATTTGTTAAAAAGCAAAGTTGTCACACATAATTAGTAGATTAAGCATCTTAGCATGACTGCATCATTTGACCCTTACCCTGCATATATTCTTACTCTTAAGTTTTAAGTCCCTACACATATGAATGGAGTTTTTTAATCATCGTTTTTTTAATCACTTTGGACTTCCTACAGATACATTTAAAAACAGTAAAGCAGTTACCTTATCTAAGGCTAACTTTAAGGATAACTTTCAAACTCACCTGCACATTCTTATAGTCCACATTTATTCCACATAAGACACATCTCTTTGGAGGATCTTTATAGGGGTTCTCCATGTGTATGGGCTGAAATCAGAGAATTGATTAACAGCTGTAAGCTTCACAAGAAAATAGAGAGCATTTGTTACTTTTAATCCTTTGATCAGTATTTGTCTTAAAACCAGAAGAGCTATTTAGTGCACCACTGAAGTTTTTCAATAACTTTATTAACTCACTTCTTCGTACCTTGCAACCTAAAAGACTTCTCACAGGTAAACAGCCTTTTATATTTTAGTAACAAGGACACTAGCAACTCTGTTAAATCATTCAGTAAGATACTGCTTACACCTTCTACTTGGAAATCAAAATCTACAGAAGCTGGTAGAAAAGTAATTTTGTCTGATAAGTCACAAGAATTATTTTTATTTTAATAATATTTTCAAAGCAAATGGCCTGGGGAAGCACCTGCATGCTCACACTTTCTGAAGAGAGAGATTCAGAAATACCTCCTAAGGACTGAAAGCCTCCTCAAACTTCAGAATACACCCAGCACCAAGTTCTTACAAGATGTGAAAGGTGATTTTTCACTTTTCACAGAGTCACAGAACAGTCAGGGTTGGAAGGGACCTTTGGACATCAGCCAGTCCAACCCCCGGGAGCAGGTGACAAAGGAACGTGTCCAGGTGGGGTTAGAATGTCTCCAGCAAGGAAACTTCACGACCGCCACGGGCAGCCTGTTCCAGTGCTCTGCCACCCTCACTGTAAAGAAGTTTTTCCCCATGCTGAGGTGAAAGCTCTTGTGTTTTTAGTTTGTGGCCACTGGTCCTTGTCCTGTCGCTGACTCCACATCCCAGTTACTAAGACAGCAGGTTTAACAGGCTCTAGTTAAGATACTGGAATACAGATCCGTGGGGCCTTAACTTCCAGTGCCTGATGACCTCTCTGCGCTGCGCTCCCCAAACGGATTCGGGGTCTGAGGAGCCCGAGCTACACAGCGCCCAGAGCAAAGCGATTCCAGCCATCGCTAGTGCCTTGCGGAGAGGGAGCAGCGGGACAGCGGGACAGCGGGGCAGGTCGGAGAAGCCTCACCTGGTCGGAGCGCCCAGGCTGTCCCTCATGCTGCAGGCGGCGCGGACGCGCCCACAGCGCGGCTGCAAGGGAGACAGTGACAGTTAGCAGCGGCACGGCTCGACATCCCAGACACGCGAACGCCCCCGCAGCCGCTTGCGACAGAGGGAGAGCGGACAAGCGGGAGGGACATACCGGGAACCAGGCGCTGC